CATGGGCGTGAAGGGGGGTGTTAGAGTGGGTAAAAGTCTCACATTTGTTGGGAATGCGCTGATGGTCTCTTTATATGGACTTAGGCAATCATTCCCTCATGAACTAGTTATTGGGATTGAGTTAGGTCCAGGTACCATATCTTTACAAGAACTATCTTAGTTACACTGAACACTTTTCTTCTATCGAGGGGATTCAAAAGTATATATATAAAAAAAATTAGTTCTGCCTAATTAATTTGCACGGTATGATTTTCCAACCGTCAATCGCGAGCTAGTGTTTAACATGTTGGAACAGTAAAAATGTAGGTAGGGCAGAATTATATTAATGTTTTGATGGCTATATATTCCAATTAATTCTCAGTGGGAAAGTACTTGAAGATGTGATTCAAAGTTGAAGAAAGCAAATGAACTTTTTATGAAAATTAAACTTATGCTTGAAGAGAGTCTAAGAGAACTTTGCAATGATTAGCCAAAACAAGAAAAAAAAGCTACCATCTTTGCCTACTAAAGTCAGACTACTCAAACATCTATATACTTTATTAACATCAAATGATGCTTTTTTTTTCCTCTGTATATATATACTATTCCTTCTTTTCTGTTTTTCCAAAACTATTCCTCTAAGTTATAGGAGTAATAATATCTTGGAGATATATTGTAGGGGGATCTCATATTGTGATGATCCAGAGCCCAGTCATGTTCTTCTATTCTCTATTCATTCATGACAAGCCCACCTCACCTTTTTCAAAAGGTGTGGGCCGGCTAAATCAATTCAAAAATATTTCTAACATAGTTCCAGTCTACATGATTTATTTTAAAAGGTCTCAAATTATTAAGAGTATTCTTATATTTTTTATATATATAGCTTTTTTTATGTGAGATTTTGTTCGTGCACTTAATTATGATCTTTCTCTCAAAACTAAGTTTTTTTGCACGCCTATCATCAAGATTCATTGGCTAATCTGAGATTCACAGAGTGCCAATTAGATCATCCGAATATTTCTGATCATCAAAGCGCACTAACTTTTATCTATAGGTGTCACAAAGCTATAGGTACTTGATGATCACCAAAGCCCATAGGCTTTTTATTTTGTATATGTATACCTCTGACTTCTAGCTTACGAATAAAGATAGTAATTCAGTACTCCATAAATCAGTAATAAGTCGGGCCCAATGAGTTAATATCTCATATGGTCACTCAACTTATATTTTTTTTCACAGAAAGTCACTCAAGTTTCATTTATATCTCCAAAGTCACTCAACTATGGATTTTTCTCACAGAAAGTCACTCAACTAATAGTTCTTTTCATAGAAAGTCACTCAATTTTCTTTTATAACTTCAAAGTCACTCAACTATGAATATTTTACCTACAAAGTCACTCAACTATTTATATTTCTTTTAGAAAGTCACCCAATCAATTTAAATATATTTTCATTAAATTTTGTTGAAATACAATTATTGTTTCAAACTATTTTTTAGAGAAATAATAACTATTGTGAACCTAATACAAAAATAATAAGATTTACACGGTAGCATTTTTTTAATCGAAAATGATGTATTGCACTGTATCCACCGTTACTAGTGCTGGTGCCTGGCAGCATAACATTTTTATTTTAAAAATCGTTTTAATAAATTGGTATTTAAACAAAATTAAATAAAATAATTAAAATGAGTATCTTACTATTTGTTTTTGTTAAGAAATCAGTTTAAAATAAAAATTGTGTTTCAATAAATTTTAAAAAATAATTAAAATGAGAATCTTATTATTTTTTAAGAAATTAGTTTAAAACAAAAATTATGTTTTAATAAAATAATTAAAATGAGCATCTTATTATTATTTTTAAAAAATAAATATTTTTCAACAAATTTTAATGAAAACATATTTAAATTGGTTGGGTGACTTTCTAAATGAAATATCAATAGTTGAGTGACTTTGTAAGTAAAATATTCATAGTTTAATGACTTTGGAGTTACAAAAGAAAGTTGAGTGACTTTCTATGAAAATAACTATTAGTTGAGTGACTTCCTGTGAGGAAATTCCATAATTGAGTAACTTTGAGGTTATAAATGAAAATTGAGTGACTTTCTGTGAAAAGAAGTATTAGTTGAGTGACCATATGAGATATCAACTCGGCCCAACAACATCATTACACCCTCTCCATATTGTATTATCGAACCATTAGCTATAATACTAGTTATGGTCAATAACAGTGGAATCAAAATCATAATAAATAAATAATAACCTCATATATATATGTCCAAGAAAGTATATAAGATATTTTAGTCTGTGGATGGATAAGTGAAGAACAAAGGTACAGATCCTGATGTTCTAAGGTTTGGTATAATAGCCATCAACCGATCAATTCAATTGTCATAAATTATAAAAGTTGATTGCTAGAGATACTACTAATCAACTAAAGTTATTTTTTTCTTTTGATTTCTTTTGATGAGTCGCTTGTCATAGGGATTCTTCAAGTTTAAGCTTCTCAATTAAAGATACGCAAGCATAAATAGGGGTCAATTTACGTGGTTCAAACTCTCTAAAATTATTGTACTCGGGTCAGATTTGTTAAACTATATTCTCTTAATTTTATATTAGTTGATCATTTTTCTTTTATACATATATTAAGAAATAAAAAAAAAATTACTAATTCACCCCTTAAAAAATAGGAAATTTTACAAACAAATGTGAACACTTATAAAAAGAATTAATCGTAAGTAATATAAGAAAATTTCAATTAATATTTTCTTAATTTAATAGGGTGGACAACTAATAAGAAATAATTATTTAGTAGGATGATCGATTAATATAGGACGAATAGAGAGAGTACTATTTTAAAAGTATTTGACAACTATCGATTGATATTTTAAGTCTGAGCAATATATATGGGGTAAAACATTACTACCTCAATCTTACACTTTCAGCTTGAGATTTAATTTTTTTTAACTTTGGCCGTTTATTTAACGCAGAATCTATTAATTCTTCAAAATAAAGTTTATTTCCTTCATTTCTAGTTGTTTTTTTCTATTATATGTTTGTCATATTTTGACTTAACACTGAATTTAAGAAAGTAATGAAGATTTTTGTATCGCATGGTCTTAAATTAAAGATATATCAAATATATTTATAAAATATCCTTTAATTTTAGGGTCTCAAACATGTCACGTATAAATTAAATTTGAAATTAAAAAGTTGTTAAAAAAGAAAAAGACATTTTTTTTCAAATGAACTAAAAAGAATGTAGGACAAACAAATTAAAAATACTATAAATTATAATAATATCTATTTAAAAAGACATATGAAAGTATAATAATCTTATAAAAGCCATGTCACGTTTTTGACATTCATAAACGGAACACCATCACGACTAAGAAAATATAATTACTATTATCTTAGGCCCTTTAACGTTTAGAAAACGTTTCATTCTCACTTTCCTGAAGTCTTCATTTTAATTCAGTCCACTTATTTAACTTCATAATTATTCTCAAGTCATCTACTTCCACTTATTATTATTATTAGTTAATCCGATTATTGATAAATCATTATTTAATTCGTCTCCAACAATTATTAACTATCCTATATATCTGTACTATTTGAGATGTAAAAGGTGGGGTGGATCAACTTATTATTAAACTTCAACACGTTAATTACTTTGCTTAACATGCATTATGTCTAAATCCTATTTTATAATATATCTACAAACGTTCAAATAATAGAAAATCTTTCAGTAGGACCAACTAAATCGTTACTGATAATACCTTAAGAATGGTGATACACACAATTTAACATTAAATTGTCTTATGTGAGGTAACTTTAATCTTTTCTAAACTAAGGATAATTAGAAACTAAGAGATAAATTAGTTCTTGAATTTTCTAAACTGAACAAGTAAAACTGGACGATAACTATTGTCTATCTTTAATATAGTAGACAATTAAAAGTGAACAAAGAAAATAGCAAGTTAAAGATTTGAGTCACCCAGAATATATAAAGTTGGAGAAGACGTTAAATCCTTCAAGCTGGCTGGGAAAATATGACTTGTAGGATTTCTTCTAAAATATTTAAAGATGAATTATGTGTTTAGAATATGACAAGAAAACTTTAAAGCTAAACCTAATCTAGCTTAAAGAAAGGATAGAATTTCTGCACCAAATAATTATATAGTACTTATATAAATAAATTAAATTAATAAGACTTTTCATATTCCATGGTTGTTCAAGTAGGATTTTTAGTTTGGTGTAAGCCATAGGTTTTGTGGTGGGGGGGTAGGGGGGTTGTGTAGTATGGCCGCCAAGACAATTTGAATCACATAAAAATGGTTATAAATAGTGGGTTATGCCCGACCCGACCCACTAGCTTGAAAACAAGAATTCTCAGAGATTATCCTAAAAGTATAATCAGTGGGACTCCCCCTCTGACTTCCACTACACACATTACATTACAAATTCTAAACAAATCAAAAGCTATGAATTTTCTATTTTTGTTTAAATTTCTTTTTTATAATCGTGAAGTTTGAATTAATTTACACGCATCTCAACTGATTCAATAAAATACCAACTATCTCCCACTCAGATCAGCAATAATACTCTGTCTATCAAGACATAAACAGATAAGAAAAAATTACATAGTAATATTTTTGTCTTCACTCAAATTTAAACATGAAACCTCATTTATTGATTCATAGATAAATTAAAGAGTGGGAAAAGAACAACAAGGAAAAAGAAAGAGAAGTCATGATAACTCATACGACCATTTTAAATATATAAATATTTAGAAACAGGAACAAAAAGTTCCTTATGATGTGCTAAATTCAGCCCAACCAAGAGCAACAAATTAAAACAACAAGTTACATAAAACATAAACACAAATGTGTAGTCTTAGCTAAATTTAGCACTTGTTCCTGTTCCTAATCCAAGCCGATTATTAATTAATTAATGTCATTACAGCTCTACACTTAATCTTCTCTATAATCATGTACTTAGCCTACCAACACATCATTCTGCCTGTAGATATGGCCCAGCTAGCATTGGCTGTCAATACTCACTTTCCCTTTTCTTACCTAAAAATGAAATCACTTCGTCTCTACCTGAACGTACCACCAAAATTTGGAGTCCAAAAATCTGTACTAGTTTCAGTTGCTACTGGAAAAGTACTCGATATCGGTACCAGGCACAATCCTCGGCTCCTCAAATCTTCTTCCTTAACCTTATCAACAATCTGTCAATAACATTTTTACGTCACTTAAAAGATAACTACATGTATGTCACATTTAGTAAGTAGCTAAGATTTAATTTATCGATATGTTTTACCTGTTGGTGTTGAGTGGTTGATCCATTTTTCAAATAAGGAGTACTAAGAGCCTGAAATTAAATAAAAACAAAGAACATGTAATTAGTTTAATTTGAGTTTTCTTGAATCATTATTTATTAATTTGAGTAATTAACGTACATTGACTTGATCATGGAGAAACTTGATGTACTCAATAGCTTCATGGAGAACTGAAGCTGTATCAGTCTGAAATTAAAATAATTAGAGTTATTAATTAAAAAAAAATGATGATAATTTTGTTAGTTGGAAAAAATCGAAATATTTACCTTTCCGAAAGGTGAAACCAATTGCTGGAGAGCAGTAATACGGTCCCCCAATTTCTCTTTTCTGACCTGATGATAACAAAAAAAGCTGAAAAATTCTCATCCATTTCTTTGGACAAAGCAATCATTTTACTTATTAAAAGAAAAAGCTTCAATCTTTAGTCTAAAGTTGGATTGCATAGATATTTTTGTCCTTTACCTTAAAAGTTGGCAATGGTGATGGTGTCTCTATTCTTGCCCTCTTCAATGTTGCTTCATTATTCACACTTTTCTTAGTCACCCTCGATTCTCTTAAATCTTCAACTTTACACTGAAAATTTTGTAAAAAAACAAATGCTCAATTAATCATTTTATCCTAACAACAATAATCTGATTGTATAAATACTTTTTAGATCGTCAGTGAATAAAACTTACTAAGTACTATATACTATGAACAGTACTAGTTGAATTGTATTGATGGTGCAAAAAATATTTATGATTTTTAGTGTATGCAACTTAAATTCGTATGTATTTACCTTTGGAGTAACGTTAGGAGCTCTGGAATTCTCGTTAAATGTTGGTGACTGGAGAATTTGTGGATGCATAAGATTACCGCGCATATTGTTTAAGGATGTGGCTGATGAAGTATTGTAGAGAGAAGTGGTAGCATTAAGAGAGTAATTTGGAAAATGATCAGAAGGTGTACTTTGTTTTGGTATCAACAAGGAATTAGGGAATTTAGGCATAGAAGGTGAAAAGTCATTCAAATCTGGCCTGTAGTTTAAGGATGATGTTGGGAAATTCATTGGTTGGTTGTTATTAGTATTAGCAAACAAAGATTGTTGTAATTGTTGTTGTTGAGGAGGAGGAGGATCATTATCAAATAAAGTTTGAAGTAAAGCTGAAGGATAATTAGAGAAAGATGAATTCATTGGAAAGGTTGAAGAAATTTGATCATGATGATGAGTATTAGTTGAGCTAGTGATTGGATGATTCATTCCTAAAGTGAAATCTTGTTTAAATGAGTTGCTTGAACAATCAACCCCACTTTCTTGTTGGTAATTCATGCTTGAATTTAGGTCTTCTTGTAGTATTGAAGGATAACTACTTTCACTCCTATCATTTCCATGCCTGCATATACAAAATTTCAAGAAAAAAAAAGTTATGAATAAAAACAACAAAATTGACTTCTTTAAGCCTTTATAGAGAAAAGAAACCCTTTTTTTCCCCATAGAAATGAAAGAATATCTCCTTTATTCCCCTTTTTTTCTCCATCATCTCACAACAATAACTAGTATAGTACTTCTTCTTCAACCTCAATCAATTTAGGATCGACTGTATAAATTCTCACTCATCTCATACAAATATTATACATACAACAACTTAGACTAAAAATAATACGAAATATATATATAGTAATAAAAATGCTTACATCAAGGTATGACTCCAATTATTATGATCTGATGTTGATGAAGAATTAAGGCCAATACCCAAGATTTGTAGAGTGGAATCATGTTTAGGTAATTCTTGAAGAACAACAGATTCATCAGAATTACCAGATTCATCGTTAGACCTACAGGAAGATTTCATATCCAACAAATGATCATTTGTCCATGCAAAATTAGAGTTCCCTAAAGGAACTGAAGATGCACATAGTGATGAACCAAATATACTTCTACTTGAATTCCACCAGTTTCCTCCACAAACACTTGCTTGATATTCATCAGCCATAACTTATTTGTTTTTATTCACTCTCGTAAATAATTATAACTTCTTTGCTCTCTTCTTCTCCTTAGCTTCAATAAAGCTCGAGTAGTCGTAATATATAGTACTTGTGTGTTTTGTATTACATGAAACTGAATTTATGAACTGAGAGTTGTATTTATATATATAGGTGTATAATATAGGGGTGGGGGTGGGGAGGTGAAACTACCGGAATCTGGTTGACATTGTAAAAAGAGAGAAGATGATTAGACAAAGCAAAGGGAGAGAGATCAGGGGCATATAATTAAATTATGACTACAAAAGATTAAAGGAATTTTGGATCGAATTTTCTTACTATTATTTTATTTCCCTACTTTACACCTACTTATATTATTATATACACTCTTTCTCTGTTTCAATTTATTTGTCCTGCTTTATATTTGTCTATATCAAAAAGAATGCTTTTTTAGAATTTTTTATATTTCAACTTTACTTATTTAATACATAAGATTAAGAAGCATTTTAGTAAATTTAATATATCTTTAATTAAAAAATATTTTTTTCTTGACCTTCTTGTCTAATCAAAATAGAACCAACGAATAGAAATCTTTAATTAAAGAAAAGTTTACTAGGGTCGTTTTATAATACTTTTTTTTCTACAAAGTGTCTATAGTCCATATTAAAGCCCGATTAACTTTTGATCACATATTACAGGGTTCGTTTAGGGATAGCGCTCTCAATAAAAAAATTATATATGCTCAAGCCTCGAATTCAAGACCTCTAGTTAAAAATGAAATAATCTCACCATTGCATCACAACCGTTATCATTTTATAATATTAATGAAAGAATTGTTATATTTCGATGGATTGTGGTTGCTTATTAATAAAGGATGAGATTTAATAGGAAATGATGGTGAAGTTTGATTGGCTGACACGTCACATTTTAAGGAGGAATAAATGTAGCTTTTAGTGTTGTTAAAATTCTACGGCTCAAATTTTTTATACTTTCGGAACCGAAATTTCAGGACCATATAACCCTATTGTTTTATCAGCCCCTTTTTCCCTTCTTAATTTCCCATACTTCACTTTCAAGTTTGATTGTGATGTTTTTCTATTATTATTTTTTGTTTTTTTTCCTTCTTCAATATATTTATATATTATCGATATACAAAAGTTAAACTTGATAGGATTAGTGATACATAATTAAAGAAGAAAACATAAAATATGAAAAAATTATAATTTTAGCAGGTTACCAGTTTAATGTTTAGAATTACAAATTTTATATTTTAAAAATATTCGGTTATAAATATAATTTGAATAACGAATACTGTAAAAAATATTTACCTAATACTTAACATATACTACTATAATTTAAAGGCTAATTTTTGTTGGGAGTGGATAATATACTTGGCGCTTTGGCGGTGTGAAAGGTTACTATTACCTCACCTAACATTAGTCTAATTTGTTTTTCCAGATTAAGAATTTGCATCATTACTTTTACTTCTAGTATTGGATATTTGACCATATTATACTATTACAGTAGGTGTCATTTTATTGAGTCCGGAGCCAAAAGAGCAAAAATATTTGTCAAAAATTCCAAAAGAGCACATCAAATTTTTTAAAATTAAAAGGGAAAAATCGCTCCTGATTTTCCTCTAACACATATTAACGCCGTGTACTCCGTTAAAAATAAAATCGCTACCAGGCCAGCGATTTTTGTTCAATTTTTCTTTACTTTTTTTTTCCACTAAATCCGCTGGCACAACAACGATTTTTTAACTCTAATATGTTTTCCTCCAACTAATATCGCTGCTATGGCAGCGTTTTCATAGAAAAAAACAATTGGCAGTTTTTTTGGAAAATCGCTGCCTTGGCAGTGTTTTCCATAAAAAAAAATTGAAAATCTTTTCTTAATTATTTTTTTTAAGTTTTATGAACGAACAATTATTTTTTTTAAAAATTGCTAACAGAGAACTTGATTCCACCCAAAATTTTGGACTAGACATAAAATCATCAAAATGAGGCACGAACTTTAATCGATGTCAAATTAAATGTTGACTAGTTGATAAAAATTTCAAAAAATAAAATAAAAGAATATTTCTACCAAAATCGCAGCCAAGGCAGCGATTTCAAGATATATATATATTTTTTTATAAAAAGCTGTTAAATGGCTGAAAATTGCTGCCTAATTCGACACCGATTAAAGTTCGTGCCTCATTTTGATGATTTCTACGTCGAGTCCAAAATTTTGGATAGAATCAGGCTCCCTGTCAGCAATTTTTTTTTTAAATAATTGTTCTTTCATAAAACTTAAAAAAAATAATTAAGAAAAGATTTTCAATTTTATTTTTATGGAAAACGCTGCCAAGGCAGCGATTTTTCAAAAAAAATGCCAATTTTTTTTTATGAAAACGCTGTCATAGAAGCGATATTAGTTGGAGGAAAAAATATTAGAGTTAAAAAATCGTTGTTGTTGTAATTGCATATTATGATAGAATCATCAAATCTTATTATGATGCTAATGACAGGAACTATCATTCTTAAGGACCGTATAATATATATATTTGGCATAGTAAGGACATATACAGCAACAACAGTTCTATCTACATTCGCAGGAGAGGCGCAAATGTCATGATTCGGAGAAGAGGGAACACCGACACCCGTAGGAGAGGCAACTTTGCAAGCATCCACTTGGGAGTCGCAAGTATGATTATCCAAAGATGAAAATGTATCTTGAGAGGACGCAGCAGGAACAGTTCTATCGACATCCGCAGGAGAGGCATCCGCTTGGGAGTCGCAAGTACGATTATCCAAAAGAGAAGATGTATTTTGAAAGGAGGCAGCAACAACATTTCTATCTACATCCGCAGGAGAGGTGCAAATGCCATGATCCGGAGAAGAGGGAACACCAACACCCGTAAGAGAGGCATCTTTGCAAGCATCCACTTGGGAGTCGCAAGTACGATTACCCAAAGGAGAAGATATATCTTGAGAGGAGGCAGCAACAACAGTTCTATCGACATCCGCATGAGAAGTGCAAATGTTATGATCCGGAGAAGAGGGAACGACATCTTAAAAATGAAAAAGAAAATATTTGTTACATATTATTGGTGATTTATCATTAACTAAAATTACTTCAGCCATAATACCATTCAAATCCAAAATAAGAAGCTTTTTACCTGTGCTTATCCCCAACACAACTACACTTGTGAGTATTTGTTCCTTTTGCACTTCAAATAACAAGATGAATCGTGCTATTTGAGCATTACTCTGGAAAAGAAAACCCAATTTAAAGAAATTACTACTAAGAAAGTGTCCACAAAAATACTTCTTGAAGCATATAAATGAGATTTCACTACTTACCTGATCAAAAGGAATTTTTTCTCCCCTTGCATAAAACTCAAAGTACTTGCAAAGAAAAACTCCACAACTTAAAGTATCAGACTGACATGGATTATTTCCCATCGTGATTATTTTGAATTGGAAAGCATTAATAGAGTTCTCCAATAATTGAATCTGAAAATATAATGTTAGTTTGAGTATTTCAAATAATTCGTACTTCAATAGATAATTGAATACATACCAATAAAAAAATCAATGGCTTATAATATTCCACGCATGTAAACACGGATTCAAAAATGTGAATACTCTTTTTTTCCAGGTCAGCACATGCTCCAAAGAAGTGATTCTCAACCAGCATTGAAAGAAAAATCTTGATGAAACAAAAACAACTGGAGTTATACTCATGCTTTAGCATGTGTCATAGATTTTGTCTATTTTCCTTACCTTTCTGTGGTTTTCATTATGTTTGTGTAATTTTTTAAAATTTATCTCCTGTGAAGGAAAATTGCCGATACTACACATCTAGAACCAAAGAAATGAAGTTACTTTACATGGATGATGTACATTACCAAGGAAATACATGATGACAGTTAGATTTAACATATGAAATGCAAGACGCTGTAGAAATAGGAATCTTTGAATTTGCGACTCAAAATATCAAAAAACTTTCAAGCACCTGCAATAAAGAATTATTAACTGTATTAAATATGAATTTAATAAACATTATTTCATCTCTTAAGCAAACAAATTAGCTATCTAAATAGTACATCTCTAAAGCAAGCAAATTAACTATCTACAGAGGACACAATTACCTCAGTGCTGAGCCACGCGTTTGTATCAGAATATTTTTCCAGTTTAAACAAAAGTTCCTTCTTTTTCATTTTCTTAACACTCTACCATTTGTCCAACAGAAGAGACAAAATGTCATTATTATGTTAATGAAAACAACTTAAGCTCAACCTATTGTAATTTATCACCTTTTGCGGATCAGTTAAATGACATGATCTCGAAACACATATCAATTTTTTTCACCCTAGAAAAAGAAATCTATAAGAAAGAATAAGATATGAGAACATGATCCCAGAAGACATTTCAAGAATTTCAAACTAAAATATGGCATTCTTGCAATTACCTATCTAATTTCTTCAATATCTTCCAAGCATCAGTGACATTCTTTTTATTCTTATCTTATTGGTTCATCTTGACAAAGCAGATTTCTGGAGAGAACTGATCAACAATACTTGGGTGATCAACCATTTTCTTCTTCGCCAGCATATCTGGTTGACCATCACCCACGTTATCGGTGTTTATTGATTCTTCTACAATGACACGCAAATCACTCACTGTGTCACTCAACTTGTTCACTTTTGCATCCAAAACATCCAATTTTTTATTTATCATGTTCATCCCACTAGACATCTATTTACATAATTCAATAATGTCTGAAAGTTTGTCACTCAAATTTGCATATTCACCAACTCCCTCCAGTGGTTGTCTACTACTAACAGTTTCATGCATCTTATGATCTGTAGCAACCACAGGCCTTCCATCAATTTCTTTTTGCTCTGGTGGTTGGCTATTACTAATTGTTTCATGCATGTTATGATCCGTAGCAACCATAGGTCTTCCATCAATTTTTTTGATCAACTCATCCATTTTAAGATCCATCTTATCTTTCAAATCCTTCCAATTAATCAAATACGATTTTTCTG